CATTGAAGTCATATGGGTTTTTAGTTGGGCAGCGCTCCAGGGGTATCGCGACACTTTTTTGCGCTACTTTTTCATTTCTGCTTTGTGCACAACCAAATTTCGAAATACATTATGAATAAATTTGAAAGTCTATTTTCCGTTTTCATAATTGGGTAAAAAAGGGTTTTTCCATTTTGCGTTACATGGTATCGTGAAGTCCTTGAAAATTGATTATTCAGGTGCTGCTATAATAGTTTTTCGATGTTTGCATCGCAGATTAGCAATTATTTCTACTTAGGTATACACTGATGGTAGACAAATCTTTTATTTTTATATGAAATAGGAAGATTCAGGCATATATCGTCATAAAAATTGTATTGTTGTCAAGGCTACGAAAACTGCGTTACAACTAACGATACCATGGTAAGATTTATCGTTTTTCCTATCTTTATCACAATTTCTGCTGATTTTCACTGTTTTGTTCGACTTTTATGGCAGAAATAGGTTTATAGTGAAAACATAAGGTGTCCTGAGTGTTGTAAATATTATGTATATGCTATAGATGATAATAACACGTATTAAGATGTTAATATCACCTCCTACAGTTAGATATATTAGCCACCAGATGATTGTATTGCAGGAAATAAATCATAATCATGCGGTAGAGGTATAATTATGTGGAGATTCTACCAACGACGAAGCTAAGATAGCATTACTACCTCTTGTGTAGATGTACACAAGTATTTGGCTGTACCAAAGCATGTCATTGATATATGGTTGTGACTTTTTTCTTTTTTTAAATTCTGAATTCACGGGACGACTACCTCAATTCTCAATAGCCGTGCAATTGTTTTGATGTTCTACCTACATTTCAATAAATATTTTTCAAACAGCTTACTTTTTTACTTACATGGGAAACTGTAGAAGTGTTGAGAATGTGTGTTTGAGTGTCAGTGAACTTTTGAATAAATGCACGTTCCTTATAAATAATACATCACGTGTTTCTTCTTTTGCAGATAATTTCAAATAACAATGAATTAACAATTGCATTGGATATGCAAAACAATCGATGCTTAAGCTTCTGCTCTAGTGTTGTACAATAATACGCTTTACCTTTTAAATAAAATTTTTCAAAAACATGCCGGTCTTTCACTGTATTGCAGATTTATTTTGGTCTGTTGTTGAAAATAAAGGTGAACATAGTAGACCTTTGGGGTTATGTCAATTGATGTAAAATAGGGAGTTCTGTGTGTATTTAGGCGAAAAGTAAACAATTCAGCAGACATTTAGGCGAAAAGTAAACAATTTTTCGGACAGTTAGGCGAAAATTCGGTAATTTGGGGGATATTTTGGCGAAAAGTGAGTAATTTATCCTTATTATTTCCTCTGGACAGGCGAAAAATGCGACATTCTGATGTGTTTTCCCCTTTCGCTACCAAAGCATTTACCCCTTTATTTTCCCTTTTTGGGTTGTCTGGGGAGCTACAATGTTTTGGCTGCCGGTATTATTGCAAAAATACCTAATATCAGAAATAAGTACTGATATAAAGCTGTTACGAGAAAGCACTGAAAAGTACGATTCGATAGTCAAGATATCTTGATCTAAGGTGACCAGATTGTGTGAGATCCTATGTGATGATCTTCGGAAATCAACCAAGGCCTGTCTAGCTTACGTGCTGATGCCGTAAATGACAATTACTCATAACTTACGTGGGACTAGAATAGAATATGCATCAAGAATTTCAGGTTACACAGGACGATTGAAAGTAAATTCACACAGTAGTCTTTATATATGTTCATCGTCTAAGTTTCTGAAGTGCAACCTGCCCAAAGAATTAAATAATACAATCCGTGTATGTTGTGACCCAGACTTTCCTAAGCAACGCAAGAGATAAAGGAAATAAGCGTGATTGACTATCCAAAGGAAGGGTGTGCTAAATGCACTTTCGATCTGTAATTGCATACTGGTTTCCGTTTTTATACTAGTTTCTGGTAAACATTTATACTGAAATAACTTTCCTGTCTATCTTATTTCCAGCTAGCTTCGCAAGCGTTCACAGACCTAACGAGAACAATTCCTGAGAATTAGAAGTTATTTATTAATGGATCATTTGTGCTAGATTCAAACTTTAATAAACGTTTACATTTATAACGCACCAGTCTCTTAATTACGGCAATTCTTATCTATCGTGACAGGTCGAAATCCGAACTACTAGTATGGTACACCATGTTCAAGGTAGCAGTATTTGGTAAACGGTATGTATAACTAATCGCGTGTGCGCCAAACTGGTAATTATTACACAAGAACGCGAAACAACATCCCTGTCTCACAGCCACATAAGACTGCACGGTACACTCCCTGCCGTTACGCTATAAGAATAAGTCAATGGCCATATAAATGAATTTATGTAAAACTAAAAAGATTACAATATTAGAACTTCTTGTTAGCAAGAAGCATAGCTATGGTCTGCATTAACAATGGATTCTGACGTTGTAGCTTCATCATTAGCACCGACTGAACTCATCAACTGTGCACAAATGTCTTCCGATGCTTCGAGGCATGAACGGATGAGTTTACTTGCCATAGGTTCACTAAGAGCATGGATTGAGTGGTAGTTGCTAGTGAACTTCTCTAGCAGATCATCACTCCCTGTAGAGATTGAGATGTTGTCCAGCGCACGAAGAACCAGGTCCATTATGTATTTTCTTGTCCACCGGTTGCTATGTCGAAATAAGTCTACAAAACTTATAGAGATAAAGGAACACACATACCTCCGCGAATCAGATCTTTAGAATGTGCATACAAAATATGACCACAGGGCAGCATGTAGTCATTGAAACGCTCACAAGCACATCGTGCACGTGAAGTATCAACAACATACATCATACCCTTGTCGTAGCACCGGATGTATTCTCCTTCTATAAATTCGTGTCTCATTGTCCGAACACGTTTATAATTTACAGCTATAATTTTAGCTGCAAAAGATGTGAACTCATTTAGAAGAGTTCGAAATGACATTGGAACCTGGAATTAATGATACATTTAACTATATTTCTTACCTGAAGAATAGGAAAACGTTGAAGATCCTTCACAGCGTCATAAGGACGCAAACGTAGATCAATGTCTGTTTTACTCCAAATTTTCCAGAACGTCAATAATAGGGAATCACCTCTTCTGAGACATTCTTTTAGGTGTTTATGAGCACTTTCAACACGGTTGTTTGTGTGGTTGCCCAGGCTTAATACATGTCGCCGGTAACAGCGAGCCCACATTGACTTCCTGGCAATCCAGTAATCTTTTATGTAATCATACGCCCGTGGAAAATGCGTTCTTAGATGTTCGTACTTTCGAGTAAATCTGAATATAATGCGCTATGAAAAGCGAAGCTCACATATCAGACCGTCTAGTCTTCACAAGCTGTTCCAAGCATTTGCGCACATCAGGATTTCGGAACTACAGAAAATAATTTGTACAGCTAACACATACCTTCCTGAAAAACGCTCCTAGGACATGGAATGAAGAAAGTATTATGTTAGAATGACTGTGCGTAGACTGCACAGCCGAATCCATAATGAAAGTGCGTGTAGCATAAGTACCGCACATTATCTCTTTAAAACATTCCGATAGTTTTTCGATATCTTCGCGTCGTTCTTGACTGCAAAGAGCATACATAACAGTGTGCCCTTGCCCAAGATTATCAGTGACCACTAGCTGGAACAGTGGAAAACTTTCAGATAAATTTATTACTAATCGTAACTTACCCGACTTTATTGGTCTGATAAGTCAAATCAATACATATTACTTCCGGGAACGCGTGGTAAACAGCTATTTGCTCTCTGCGGCTGAAGCAAATCATAGACATGTTCCCATTTTCATAGAATACTTTAACTTCAGTATTTCCTTGAATGCGCTGTAAAATGTTATTGATATTTTTAGTGTCTAAACTCAATTAATTACAATGTGAGTTCAACAACCTGGGTACAACTGTGAACGCATTCTGGCGATATCGTCCTTGGTAAGTTGTTTATTGAACTTCAAAGAAACCAGATACCGTAAGCTACGAGTTGGTGTATTACTCAGTAGAAACGTTCTTAAATACAAGCGTTCACTTGAGGTCAACTGTCGTTTCGATGGATCGACAGAAATATATCCTTCTGTGCAAGGATGGTTGTGCACGGTTTTAATAGAGGTGAGTTTCAACTCACCATTCAGTGCCCGGACCCAAAATCCTGATTTACAGTGGCAATATTTCGACCTGAAGGATAAATTCATTTGAAGTAAGGCATACGTAGATGACCGACGTCGTCTCCTTTGCCTAGGTTGTGTTGGCGAGTTAGAAGTTGTATGCTCTTCAGAAGAATGATTATTACTATCATCATCCACATCCTGAACGCAAGCATCTGACTCTGACGAACTGCGTTTACGTCCATATGTACAGACATATCTCACGAAAAAGTACTTTAGAGTTGGATCATCACTGTTCTTTTTGCATACTGACATAACGTACTTAGTATGCGTATACTAAAAAAATAATTATTAACCACAGAGGTCATGTTACCTTATGTACTTCTTTCAAACAGGTCTCAAAATTGTCCCAACTTGTAAATCTTCGAGATAACATAATATCATTGAAGATTCGTCCTATATCATGCATCATCACGATGGAATCGTCTTCGTTACTTGAAGAATGAACGTTATCAGACATAGTGTGGCTGAACTCAATTCAAATCTAAAAATGTCTTGATTTGACCGCTTCTGAAAATTTTCACGAATTGTCGATGTGACGCACCAATCATTTTGCGACAGTTTGACCTTCAAGTGCTCGCAACCCCCATCAGTGGACGATACCCTAGGAGCGTTGCCTTTTAGTTGGGCAGCGCTTAAGGGTTGTCGTGACAATTTTTGCGCTACTTTTTTTACTTCGGCTTTGTGCAGTATGTCTTGATTTACCTTTGTAAATTTCGACACTTCTAGATTGACATATAGAGATTTTTGCATCGTTTTCCCTCATAGATTTCTTAATTATTTGAGTAAACTGTCGAAGCTAAACCGAATCAATCTAAACTCCAGTTCATATTACAGCTACTCGCCTGAAATTTAAATTGGTGTTGAAAAACAGGAGATTGCACTGTTCAGCTTTAATGCTATTCGCTGAAGCCGTTGATAATAGCAAAAGTCTTGATGTTACATATTGTCGCATCAAAGAGACAGGGTTTGGGTTATTCTGCATTAATACTTTTGTGTTCAGATCGTGTCACATTAATGTGTACTCGGATACTATTGAGATTCAGAATGCCAATGAAACTCATCAAGTGACATTAAATGGATTGAATATATCGTGCATGACATGCAAAAATCTTTGTCAAGTTAATGACAGAACTTTGTCGTGCAGATTTAATGCATCGTATAGCAGTCAGACCTGTGACAACATAACTAAATTAAGTAAAGTTAAGAGTAACCTTACTGCAGCTGATTCGATTCTTTGCAAATTTTGTCAACAGAAGTTAGGAAATATAAAGTAAGCAAACTATTTTCAGATACACGTTTTAGAGATGTTACTTGTACTAATAACTTCCAGAAATTTATCACTCTCGAGGAGGAAGGTTTATGCATTGAAGATGGCTACTTCTGTCATCCAACTTCTAAAAGCACTGAGGACTTGGCCTCTAACTCCGTTAATACGCAGACTTTTCCAGTTAATTTATATTTGGCTTCTCCATCTAGCTGTTTGTTCACTGGTTTAGAACTAATGATAGATCGTTCGTTGATTGAACCACAGTCCATTCAATCCAAAGGGAACGATTTCTTTCATTGTTCTAGTTGTTTAATGGCTTTGGGGAAAAAAGGTACAGATCACATTTCTTTGTTGTAGTTGAAAGTTGATATATTGACAATGGAGAAATATTTTGTTGGATAATATTTTAATTCTGTTTCCTGCAAAACAAATAGTCTAAATCTATCCCCAGTTTTCGAAGTTCATCATATATATACTCTTAAGTAGTACATATAGTCATACAAACCCAAAAGTGAGCGCAGTGGTAAAACGCTGTACTACTAGTAATGTATTTGTCGCCTTTATGAACTGACAGCAAGCTACAACTTTTAAGCAAATACTTGATACGTATTAGTTAAGACTAATAAATAACACTAGTTCCTCACTATTTGAGTTCAAATCAAATTTATTCCGACCGATCATTTGTCTAATAGTCACGGTATTTCTAATGAAAAAAAACTTGAAAACATTGGGTTTTTCTCATTTCTATCGAGTTATAATTGTTGCTGTATGTTTAGTTTTGGTTATGGAACTCAAGTGGGACGCCTTACTCCCAAGGTAAATGGGTCTGTTTCCGTGCCAGTACTTCTTTCACATACCTGAAGTACAGATTCTTAGTTTACGCTTTAAGTCTCAGATTGTTTGATCACTCAGTAGAGTACCATATCTCATATTAAGGAAATTCTTAGTATTCATAGGACCAAAACTATACGAATGCTTCTGGTAGTTGGTGACTTATAGGTTGCTGTGTTCTTAAACCCATGATTTTCAACAGATAATTTTCTAACGTTAGTTATTCAAATAAATCACCGAAACAGCTGAACTATATTTCCTGTTTAGTTTTCGATTAGCAATAATATTACTGTTTCAACTACTCAGCTATTGTTTTGTTACTTTTTTTCTCTGCACTGGTTTCAAGTGTTGTAATTTAAATCGTTATACATTTGAGTGGAATCCCATGTCATTTGTGGCTGGAATGTATAAGAGTAGATTATTTGTTTACTCTACTAATGTGTCAGTTTGCTTAACAATATATTCTACAGTTAGAGGCTAGGACTTGGTAAAAAAAGTATCTGAAATTCGACATATAAACAAACCCATTACTTTCTCGAAATTGATTTCAGATCACTATCGAGGGAGGTGCGAGTAAAGAAATTTCTTATTCCTCACTTATACATCTTTATTAATTGTTATGATATATTTGTCTGTTGTGTGTGTCCTTAATTTACTGTTCCCAAACGAATCTCGGAGCTCATACATAGTCCAGTTTCTTTTCATATGTCCATACAGTTATTTCTCAATCTTGTTATTATTATTAGAGCGCTTGTCTTCCTACAATCAACCAAAGAGTGCCAGTTTACTTATTCTATATTATTTTGGCTTTACTAAATTCTAATTTTTTTCATACAAAAAAATAAGTCTGTAACTATGAATGCATAAATTATTTAAATCTTAGATGTTTTCTAAATGATGTCATATCAATTCCAACCGTCGACATCTAACCTTCGAGTGTAGAGTAAATGCCGATATAGTCAGTGACTATAAATTGCTTTACTCAGATATTTATCCTCTTTTGTAAGTGTTAAATTTAGACGAAGTAGTTAACCAATGAATGAGGTTAAAAATCCTAACCGATTCAGGTGGTTAGGACATATGTTACTTATGCTTAACTAAGACCTACTTTGACGAGGGATGCTTGCTTGTCCGGAACTAGATTAATTGGAAGCTAGTGGCACCAAGCCAATACATGGCATCACTACACGAACTCACTATTGATGTGAGTTAAGCTGGTAGAAACAGGCTTCCTGTATGTGATCGGCAAGACAACTGGCCAGTAGTTGGAGACTTCGAGTGATATGACTCAGAATCATTCACAATTGTCCAAATAGATTCATTCTTTATCTTTTATTGGCTTGATATTTCGACGCCAATTAGGTTAGATATTGTTGTCAACGGGTCCGCCACTTTAGTGGCTGGAGATTGGACCCCGATTTATCGTTTCTGATTGTTATTGAAATATATATTTCGCCAATCGTCGTATATTTTTATCGGTTTAACTCGCGTTAATTTATAATGGAATTAAATAAGTCAAATGTGAGAATGGATTTCGAATACGTGTATTTCACACAATCGTTAATCCAGACAAACAATGGAAGAAACGAAGCGAAGTGAAGAGAACGAACCGGAACGACGCACAATCGAGGCGTGTGAGCCAATTCAATTTAACTAGGCTTACTTACTTACGCTTGTTACTCCCAATGGAGCATAGGCCGCAGACAATTTAACTAAGCATGAATCTATATTTATAGTCACGTGGAAATAAGTTACAGACAAGTGATGAATAGGATAAGAAGTGCACACACGCTCATATAAAAGCAGTCAAGATTGGTAAGCGAATAGCAACCGACACTACAGTCTTCCAATCTTGAATTTCAGTATTCCGTCATACATGACTGTCACTTCGAACCATATTTTCAGGGCTGAGTTTTTCTTGTTGTTATCACTACTACATCATTTCGATCTCTTGTTATTTTCATCTCGTGCTAATGTGGTACGACAACTGAAGTCAATACACATCTATGCCGGGCTATACGTTGATGATGTTTGTCTTTTTCTTTATAATTGTAGTTGACTTTTGTCACTTTCTTCTTCATGTAATTTTTAGTCTTGTCTGGCTCTCAAGAATACTTTGTATTTTGGGCTAATTGTTTAAGTTTACTAATTAGAGAAAATGATATTGATGGTGATTTTATTGGTTACATTGAAAAGCCATTAATGTAAGTTTCGAATATAACCTTTTCTCATTTATATTTATTTTTAATTCGATAGTATGTTTAGCAACCACAACTGTCTAGATTCATTGTTGTCAACTTTTGTAACTATTGTAAAATAAGTGAAAATCATTTATCAGTTTTATGTTTTGAAGTAATTGATAAAATATCATCCAGTAATCGCGTCTAGTTGTTTCCTGTTGATAACTTATCCTCTTCATTCAATATATCAATGATTTAAGTATTGAATTGTCAAGGCTTGATTTTGTTAAGTAATATTGATAGAACGTTTTTAACGACTGACGATTAGATGTGATTTGTTCCACCCCCGATATTCCTTGGGGAATATTTAACTATGTAGTGCTACTCAGTCGGTCAGCTACAACGTAGGACTAGGCACATGTATGCATCGGTCCAAGTTGTCACACCTCATTAGCCCAACAAGGTGAACACCAAATTCATAGAAGCAGTTACTTCAGTGATAGTAATATATAAAAGAAAGATTGCATATAAGGATATAATCCAGGGAGAAAAAACCATTTCGTTGAAAAGGAGGTATAAAGTAATTTTAATCTCACGGTTTAAAGGAAGACAATGTGTGTATACACCTACGCTATTGTGATTGATCCTGAACGATGTCACCCAGAGTCCCCAACGATTGGTAGTCTGCATCTACCAACATGGATCGAACAAGAATTTAGTGACTTCAAGGACTGATGCCACGTTTTGGTTTAGCCACCCATGACTTTCTTCGGTAGTGCTACTCAATGTATGACAAGACATTTGAGTTGATATTAACCAGAAATATTGCGCGTCATACGTGCCTGAGTAAAATTTGGATTTTTGTGGGTAAAAAGGTGATGCAAATTTTATTTAAAACGAATCAAAGATGTGGTGTTGGATTCTCAGGAAACTCAAACAGATTTACAATGCAGACTGACACCAGTCAACTAACTGATGGAATTACGTATGCACTACCCAGCTCTTTCTGTATCATTTAACTGGAACCAACGTAGGACTCAGAAAATATGTGCATCTGTCCAATTATCTGCACAGCATCTACCATGCTAAATAAGGACAGTAAGAGGAATATCAAAGGAGTTAACATAGTAGTATCACTAAGTGTAGAGTATATAAATCAAAGAGAATGAATATAGTTAAAGAATATGAGACTATGGATTGATATTAAAACTGATAATTTGGGGGAAGGTGAACAGTGAATTAATCTACTCTACTATATCCAATTCTGAACAATACCCCCTAATGTTTCTAACTATTGGTTATGATTATTGTGCAAAAAATTGAGAATTTCTGGAACCAAGTTTTGCAGACGTGAAATTCTAGTCGTTGAAGCTAAGAGATGTCATACGTTATTTCCACGTAACGTTTTTATTTTATGGATTCTTGGTTTGCTTGATTTTTGTCCCTAGTTTGCATGTTTTGCTTATTGTACAAATATGTACTAAGCTGATCTCATTTAATAGTAGTGATTTAAATAATCATCTTTATTAATTACCGGTTAAAAACACAGCTTCTTGGATACATCAAAGTTACTTTAACGTTACTTTTGGATAGATGGCATTCGTTCTAGTGGACTGAAGTGAAACAGTGAATTCTGGTTATATAAAAAATTAGTTATATTACATATACTACTTAGTAGTAGCATGCAGTTTATTACTTGATTAGCGTTTTTTAGGGAGTTAGTTTTCTACGGGGTGAGGTCGCTAACCACATGCCCAACCCTCCTCTTTTATCCGAGATTGGGACCGGCAGTAGCCCGAGAGGGGCTCCAGGTGGGGTTGCATGCACTTGATAGGTTAACTTTTTTATGAAATGGAATTCACCATAGGAGTGGTACGAGTTTCAAAATATACTTCCCATCCAATGTACTACTGTACTTGATCTTAGTTGGTTTAAATGACCTAGTTTAAGATCTCCAAGTGATTTATGATGTAATGTTCATAGCTTACATACATAATTTTCTGAATAAAGGTGTGGTTTTAAATCCATGAAGTCAACTCTTAAATTATTCCGTATTGGTAGGTGTAGACTAGCTAGTTGTGGTTCGCATGATTAGTGACCTCAGGTGCTAAGTAATGTGGTTCGAAATCGATGTCAGTTATGCAGATGCATCAACTCTTTGTCTTTTAAAGCTTACGTTTCTATATTTTTAACACATATTTGAACTATATTGTTCATCTTTAGTATTTCTAACTCTTATCGACGTTGTTCGATTTGTTAATCTCATCTCTCGGTGTTAGTGGGGTGTGTCAACGTGGATCGATGGATATTTCTACCAGGTTCTATATTGATTACATAAATGACTGACTACACGCATAATCCTAGATATTCTAGCTTGTTTATTTTCCTTCTTCTTCTATCAATTTGTGGTAACAAAAAAGTCATTTTTCAGTTCATTTTAATGGTCATTAGTATTATTATCATTGACCGTGGCGAACAGAATCAGACCTGTTATGTGGTAATTACCATTCAATGTTTGATATAATATCCAAGAATTGTATCTAACAATCAAGCATTAGTTGATTGGAGAGTGTGTGGCCCCGAAAACTGATTTTCTCCGATCGCTTATGACATTTTTCATATCTATTTCTTGTCACTATCTTTTATATAAGCAGAATATTACATGAAAAGTCTATTATTCTAGCTAGTGGTCTCTTGTCTTTGATTTCAAACCATTCGAGAAATTACGTTAGAAATTTGGTCTCGTGAAAAGTTATCACTCAACCACACATCGTATTATTGTTACCGTGACGTGGTGGTCGGGCTTGTCTATCATGATGAATCAATCGAGCTATATTGGTTGGAAAAATTGTTCTTCAAGGTCCTATCATGCCAAAGAGGTTGTTTGAAAACCGGTAAAACTAAAAGCAGCAAACACAAGGTTCGAGGGCGAATTCGTACTGCTGACTGTACAGAGCTGTGACGGCAGTAAGGTGTTTTCTTCATACAACCAGCATAACAGCGATGCTGATTCATTCACGGAAGGGTGAGGTCAGTAAAGGTCGACCCTAAAAATACACACTTCACCTTATCCCATGTATTTCCGTCTCTAGCGGTAAGGTCCCAACAAGTATTGGGCTAACATGGAAATTACTCACAAAACGGTCGTATGTGACCGCTCACAAGCAGTTGTTTTTTAGTTATTACGGTCACACTTTCGGGTTACTAAGATCACCTCTAACCCAACTTTCTTTTCAGATACCCCTAAAAGAACCCTTCAACGGTGTGGGCAACTGGGTAGTGATAACCACCCCCATACCTCTAACAGCACTCAAGACCACTGTATTGATAATCAATTTTCTTCAATTCTAATGTTCCTCCTGCCTCGACTGTCAACTCTAAACTTTCTCCTCCAGTATCACCATGGCCAACGATTCTAGTACGCGAAACACTGTCCCATGTCTACTGAAACCTCGCTCCAAATTACACATTTGTCTTCAACGTGTACACTATGTGAAATCGGCCAGCAGGCCGCCTTGGATATAACCCTAGAATCTCGTACCATTGATGTATGCTGTCTCCAAAACACACATACAGGATCCTAGTGTGGTCACTCACTTGACCTCACCTCGCCAAAACGGGGGTCCGACGAGATAAACCCTCCATGTATCTGGCGACCTGATGGCTAGTTCTTGTGGACTGGCAGCTGATCTAGATGTTACTTGAGAGGATATAGGAGCAGCTGTGGAGACAACAGCAACATCTATTGCACTGTCAGACTCTCGCAAACCTATCCCATCAGGCTCTGAACATGATGAGGAGCATAAACAAATCAGATCTAGATTCATCAAAAGTCTACGGAACGATTGTGAGCAGTGGCGCTCAACAAAAACAAGTGAGGGAAAAGACAGCATCTGTAGGTAGCACAATACAGCTTTTCAGATCAATAAAGGAAACCGGAATTAAGAAGTCAAGTGTAAGTGAAACAATCTCGTAATAAGACAACACTTATCTGCTTTCAGTCCAGACGTTTAGAACGATGGGCAGAACACTTTAAGAAGCAGTCCAGCAGGCCTTCAGTTACCCACCATTTCCAAACACCCTAAATGGAACATCGAAACTGACCCTCTGACTCTAATTGAAGTTCAAAAGCTATAGCTAATCTCAAATGAGAAAGAATAATTGGTCTAGTTGGAGTAACTGCAGAGGTCTTTAAGGATGGTGGGTTAATTTTTGCGATTATGTTGACCAATATTTTAGCTAAAATCTGGAAACTGGATGTAATCCCGTCTAACTGGTCGTAATCACTGATCTTCACGGTGTATAAGAAAGGATCAGAATTAGTTTGACTAATATAACATCTAAAATACTGGAATCAAAAATTATTGGGTGCCTAGCAAAGATTCGTGAATTGCAAATAAGAGAAAACCAGGCTGGCTTCAGATCTAACTATGGCTACATCGACGACGTATTTACCATTCGTCAGATTTTAGAATGAAGGTATGCTTGTCGACATCCGGGAATGACGGTTTTTCTTGGCTTAAAAGCGGAATTTGATTATGTAGACCGAGGTTCTGTGGCAGTGTCTGTCATTGAGAGGTGTACCTCAGAAGTATATAAACCTGGTGATGGCTTTTTAATCGAACACTGTCAGTCGAGTCAGAGCTTATAGCGAACTGTCATCTGATTTTGCAACCTCAAGTGTTGTCCGTCAAGGTTGTCCACTATTTCCATTTCTGTTTAATTTCATCATAGACCTACTGCTGGAAATAACTTTCTCGTCTACTGAATTTTCGGGCATTGATTTCCTACCAGGAGGTTCACTTATTGACCTACAATACGAAGATGACATAGTCTTGTTTGGTGAAGACGCTCATAAAATCCAGTCTTTTGGTAGCACTGAGCAATACTGTTAGGATGTTTAGGATGCATTTCTCCCCTTCTAAATGAAAGTTGTTGCTTGAGGACTGGCCTGCCTAAACACATGAACTAAGGATAGGGAGTGAAGTAGTCGGACGCGTGTCCAACCACTTATCTTGGAAGTTTGATCAGCACTAATGAGTTGGTGTCTGACGGAATCTCCGCACGGATTCAGGAAGCTTGTTTGGCTTTTGCCAACTTACGTCACGTATGGCGAAGGCGAGATATCCATCTATCAATAGAAGGATGGGTATACTGCGCGGCAGTTCGTTCTGTTCTACTTTACGGCTGAGAAATGTGGCCATTTAGAGTAGAAGATACTCGTAAGCTACTAGTATTTAATCACAGATGTCTCAGAAATATCGCCAGCATCTTCTGGGATCACGAGTTAAGTAATAGTGAGGTCAGACATGGCATATTAGGGAATGATGTTAAATCAGTTGATGAGGTTGTGAATATGTTATATCCTAGTGAAGATTAAATTACAGGTAACTTCCGAGGACTATTAATGGATTAATATTCTATAAATATTCATATTGTATAATTATTCAATAATTATATTATATATATTTATATTCCCCTCATTATAAGCTTCATTTCGACCTGTAATTTATTACTATACGATTTACTGTCCCTAAATTATGCTCAGTTTATTAACTACTGCCTCCCATGTTCACAGCCACTTTTTGGCTTTATTGTGTACAAATAGTATTTCCTATTTTATGGTGCCTTGCGGTCTATTTGTTTGATATATAGACACAGTATGTTTGAAATATATGATTCGCATATTGGAAGCTGGTATTTGGTGTTCTGGACTCAAGTGGACGGCTAGGCGGACATAGGACCAATGACGACGCTAGACTGCCCATGCCGGTCGAACGTGATTGGCTTGGCAGAGTGCTAATATTGTATAAGTCGTATTTTGATTGATGGATAAATCACGTGATAAAAGCCGGACATAAAGTAATAACAGAATATTCATCGACTGAGATGATTGGGCCTCGTGTTACGTATGCCTGAACACCGATTACCACGACGCACAATGCTGACTAGTATTGAGGATGGTTAGAAGAAAGTTAGGGACGGCCAAACCAAAACGTGGCATCAGTCCTTGAAGTCACTAAATTCTTGTTCGATCCATGTTGGTAGATGCAGACTACCAATCGTTGGGGACTCTGGGTGACATCGTTCAGGATCAATCACAATAGCGTAGGTGTATACACACATTGTCTTCCTTTAAACCGTGAGATTAAAATTACTTTATACCTCCTTTTCAACGAAATGGTTTTTTCTCCCTGGATTATATCCTTATATGCAATCTTTCTTTTATATATTACTATCACTGAAGTAACTGCTTCTATGAATTTGGTGTTCACCTTGTTGGGCTAATGAGGTGTGACAACTTGGACCGATGCATACATGTGCCTAGTCCTACGTTGTAGCTGACTGACTGACTGCATCGTTGTACATCATTGATCAATCAGCACTCTACTCATCGACTTCAACAATCGGGAATTCGTTCATATAATTTAAAGTGTATTTTTGGGATGGGATGACAGAAAACTTATCACGGGTCCCATACTGTATTAGTAGCACCAATCACATGATCTAAACTTTAATTCTGCATATCTGAGATTTTTCGCATCATATTATTAATGTCTACTTGCCAAAAAAATTTTTTTTGGAGAAGAATCAAATGTTAGAATATTCCGAAACATCTATTCATTGTTGCATCTATAATTTGTAATGGAATACTGTTTTCAGTTTTGTAGCATATTTCTCAATGCACTTTATGTTCTGCGAGGTCCAACTAAATTTGTTGGGCAATAAAACAAATTAATTTCAGGATGTGGATTTGTGAGTGATCAATTCAAGCACTCAACAGTTAACTAACTACTATCCAGGTTGTATTCAGATATTATGTTATTAATTAATTAATGTCAAGTGCTACTCAATTTAACGTTATAATATGACTGTAGATTTTATTCCACTGGAGTTGAACAGGAATGATGTGAATGCTTAACATACGTCGTTTTACGTTAGTGTCACACCACTGACAATTGTCTAATTTGGTGGTTAAGCTATTGTTCTTCATTGGTGTCATCAAAGAACAAATAGAATCTTACCATATATAATTAATTTATTTTAATACGAAGATAATGGAGAGGTAAAAAGTACAAAACTGACTAATAGCTGCTTGCACTAGTTTCATGGCATGTGTGGATTAATCCGTGCAAGTTATGCTTGACCTTGACAAATTTCGGTCAACAATTTGACTTTCAGTCTTCTATTGTATAGATAGGTCCAGGTCGACGGATGATTCAGCTAGGGCTCAGAGATATTTGACTGACCCCGCATAACTATTGATTATTATAAATGAAAGATGTAGGAAGTTATGTGTATTCAGATATTGTTTGATTTATTTTTGGTGTATGACAAATCCTCATCTATCATCTTTGCGTTGTTGCTTGCATCGAGCTACATCGGTTTTTGTTTAGTCATAACACACTACTTTTATTTAATCTTTAAAATAGATTAATTCAGTGATATTTTCTTTCTCTCTTTCAATCTTTTATTCAGAGCTGATGAAATGGAATTTTATAGCCTTCTAGTTGAAAATTTAATAAAAAATACTCAATATCGTGTTATTTTATCAGCTATCACGTGGGATGGACCTTTAGACTTTATGTTAGTAAGTTTATTTCTAAGAGAAAATATGTGTGATGCTAATTTTATGCGCTTACATCTCTTTAGAATATTGTAAATTAATTAATATTAGGATCCTTATCTTAACATTTATTTAATCACTCAAGATCTACGCTGATGAATTGAACTGAATGAGCAGCGATATTTAATTTGCTTGAAATTTTGTCTCCGAAAGTAGCCGCCTGCCTATAGGGGGCTTTTATGTGAACGATTTATTTTTACGGATACTGTAATAAACAGAACACGGATGGGGACAATCGAATGTACTTGACACAAAATTACAGGACTTGTTAATAAAATCTAACAATCATAAAGTAAATGCTTAATTTGCAAACTGTCCATCAATTGTCTCGAAATGACTCAGACTTCATCGTTCTTGCATTTTCATACAAATTGCATTCTGTTTCCATTCTTTACTGTTCAATTCTTTTGTCTCTCTGCTGTCAAACCTTCTGTTCACGACTAACATCATATACTACTTATGTCAATATAAGTAGCACACACACTACAATACTACCATAATATTTAATGTAAATAAAATAAGTTTTCTTAAAAATTTATTTGATTTTACCTAAGAATACATCCTTTCCTTCACTCTCATTGAAAGGTCTCAGGTTTGATCATATGTATAATGGTCATAAACGCTCATCAATTCCTCTTCTTTCACTCACTCTCTCTCTCATCTAAACTAGTACGAAATAACTGTTTACTAATGAGATTTTTTTCTTATTCCAAAATTTTCAACGTATACTGATTTGTGCACTTGTTAACATCGATTTCCATGTTTCATTTTCAACATCGGAATTTATTGATTTTATGGTAAATTTGATATATTACAAAGAGAGAGAGAGAGAGAAAAAAAAACTTCGTTTAGATCATATACCTACACAGCAGACTATTTTATTTTAATTTATTTATACGTAACAAAAATCTATTCATTTGACTATGTGTATTATCAAATCATTGACTTGTATGCTGCCAAATTGTTTTAAATCTTTAAAATAGATAACCCACTAGTCTTTAGCTGGATTTATTGAAAGATATGAAACAGTTACGTGAACTACGAAATCAATCCGGTTATGTATTAAGTTGTTTGTTTTTTTCTTGCTGAAATTGTTGTCAATGAATTGTTTATTCTTGGAAATATTAAGATAATGTGTATGGAGAAATGATACATTTGAGTTATTTCATTCCTTTTCCTTTATCGATTACTTGCCCCCAAATGCCCTGGTATTACCGGAAGTGGGGTGGACCCGCCCTCCCTCCCTCTCGAAATGCTCTCACACGGCCATGCGTATACAGCCTCTGCCAGGGAAGTCCTACTCTCTGCCTTCTCGTGGCGGGGGGTGTTGTTTACGAAATTGAGAGGATGAAAAGCGAATGTCCGGCACTTTAACAGGGTTGGTGGACATGCAGAGTCCACCTAGGGGAGTTGGAAAACCCTGATCCCAAACCAATGGTGCACATGGATTCCAGTATCCTGAAGGAACAAATGGCGCATGAACCAATCGTTGGTCACCGGCTACCATGGGACTGCATTTCCTTACGATGCTCCACTACCTTGTGGATCAGACCTTCAGACCAAAGGCTCCGGGTGTGGTCCCTTAAGATAACCATTTGCTTCGGTTTGGGCACCCGGGCAGTATCACAGCCCTCACACATATCAAATGCGATCTGTATGGCGCATATCTATTTGGTGCCTCCTTGTACCAATGTTTATGTGTTTAAATAAATAAATAAACAAAATAAAATCGATTACTTGTTTCTAAATGGAGCTAGTTCAGAAAAAATTTGAAATGTCTTAGTTGAAAAATTATATTTGTAGTGTATAAAGTGCATTAGTTTTCAATTGTTTCCCCTAAATATTCATTGATTTTCATCAAGTTTATAGAGCTTTAAGAAAGAAAGTTATTCACATACCAATATATATAAGCATAAGTTAAAATTAGACACAAAACGTCCATTGTTCACCGTACAATACCTTCCATCCGAAGATAATATATAAACGCAGATCGGACAGTCTAATGCAAGTGGATTTGAATAACATCCTATGAATTTCTTTAAAAGAAAAAAAATGTTGACAGATTGGATTCCTAACTATTGCATGCTTTCCTATTTTCCTACATCTCTTTGTTCATGTTATCGGTATGTACCTTGTTCTCTCTCGATTATTGTTCTGATTTGCAAAGAGTCGAGTGAATTATCGTGGTCAGGGAATACTAACTTGTAGAATAACATAAAAACTATGAACCAATGAGTTGGTGGAGTACTTACGTTCATATTTCTATCCTCAATCAGTTAGTAATATTTTACCAGCCATCATGCACTATCATCGTTGCTAACTGTTTCATTCTCGATATATTTGAGCCACATCAGTTACGATTTACCACTTACTCAATTTCCTGTAATTCCTCATTTAAACTGTCCTCCTATCAAACTAGTCTTCACAATATCTGCTTAACTAAATCATTGGTTGTTATTCTTTCCTGGTGAAAGATATAACCATATGTCAAGAGATTTTACTGTTCATCATATAATTTAAAATAGATCATGCTAGTCGCAATACAAGTGATTTGAACATTAACTAGTTGTAACCTAGAATAAATCTCTATTCAAATTATAGATACAGATTTATTGGGTTTAAATTTAAAACGACCTGCGGCTATCTAAATATATATAAGATCTCAACCTGACAACATAAATCATAATTATTCATAAGATAGTTGAGATCCAATCCCTACAATGGATTACATAACCCAAAGATTTCAATCATCTCATTGTGTACAAGTGAAACAAACATGTGCTGCCTGGTCACATGATTGTTGTATTTTTTAGGGTCATTGGGATTAGTGAATTTAGGACCAAAAAAACTTCAAAGTTTTTATTACTAGTGTTATTTCTCTAAAAAATAATCCACTTTTTCTTTTGTTTCTGATAAAATTCTATAATTATTAGCTTTGGTTGCCTGACCAAAAAATAAGATTATATACAACTGCTTTACAAGATTGTACGTCACCTACAATTGATGTAAATGAGGGTTCATTAGGAAAGGATGAACAAAACACTGTACATTCTGTGAAAATTGAACCGATTGCTTGTCGTCGTGTATTTTATCAACAACTTTTACCGAATAATAATTGTTCATCGTAAGTTGTCTTTTTCTTTGAAATTTCTTTTACTATTATTAAAATTAAGTCGATGTTTTATGGTCTTTATATTACATTTCGGTAACATCCATTACATTAATTGAAGTAGAAAAATAATCAGTGATATGTATCTGATAAATAAACACAAATTAATCGTTCCAAGAAAACAAACTTTCCACTTTATTCGACTTTCTGTTCAGTTATATTGAAGAAGCAATATAATGTTATGTAGTTGAAGGTATTCTCCAGGAAATTCTGTGCCTAAGTTTTGTCCTTGTTTCCACTCACCATTAAGACGAACGTGCAATATTCAGGGAAGCGGTGCTGCCACATCACACAGCCCCACAATTTAAAATGTTACTACTGAACTATTTGGATCGTGAATGACTTTCTGTAGGACTGAAATATTCACACTGACTGGTCATTGAGTGATGACCGATGTCATGTTTGTCTAGTCCTTAGCGTTAATCGAATTCTATTCGATCGAGTTGACACACAAACATACCTTACAGGTACCAACTAGCATGGAATTTAGATCCTTGGCTTTCTGTTGAGTACTTCAAATCACATGACATCAAAAAATAGTGCAACTTGTTGATCGATATAATTCAGTCGGCACCAAAAAGCCAGTCAAACGTAAGATTGGTCACTACTTAGTTATTGATCAATGCAATGTTGTTACACAAATGTTGGAATACTACTTTTTGCTCGATAAGTATAAAATATAGTAAAGTAGTAGTATTCTGTTATGGATTAAAATTAATGGGGAAAAAGCTAGACAGGCAGTGTATGACCAGAGAATGTTGAAGGGTTTTGGGGGATTGATAAACATAAGGGAGGCTCCCATCAACGCCTGATATCAACTTCGAAAAGCCATTGGAAATCGAAAGTTATTTAGTCCTCTCAACTGGGGATCTTCAAATATCCCCTACTTAACAAGTCACCGTTTGTTAATATTACCAGTTGTAAACAATTTTCAATGAGTTTTGTCTATCTGGTATTTTGCCGGTTGGTTTAAGCAACTAATACGCGGCAAGGATGAGGAGGACTGATACTCTATGCTTGACGTTTGCTTCAATAATAACTAGCCCCGAACGAAGAGAAAGGACAGAAGACCAATAATCTCCAATCCAAGATCATTATTATACTTCAGACTTCAACTTATATGCATACAAGACCAGATCACGCAGCAAACTAATCGAGTAAAAGTATTAATACTGAGCAGCAACATTAATGAAAAAACCCTGAGTACTGATTACACAAATAATCAGTTCTAGTCTGAGAGGAAAATGCTATAGCAACAATTTACCGTTCAAATAAAAAGCTTGGAACTAGGGTAGTATGCAAATATTAAGACCAAACTACTCAATAAACATGGAATTAATACACATAAATAAAACCCTAGAAAAATAGCTCCCAAATTTTTCACCTCACAGTTAAATTGTCTTTTACAACAGTTAACGTTTCATGACATTGAATAAATAGGTTGAGGATCATCGGAGCTGTAGTTGTTTTCAGTCACTAGATAGTATCTAAATTTTTGGTAGATAATAATCATTTATCGTCGTTGACAATGTGCTGGTACTACTCACTGATTTCATGAGTTTACAATGACGTTGTTTAAATGCCTTAAACATATTATATTCAGTTATTGAATCAGGTCTTGTCAAGATCTTATCATCTGTTTACAAAGCTGCGACTTCAAATTGGAAAATGAATTTGGTTAGTGCATCAACTAAGAAAAATTGATCGGATTTAAGTTCTTAGACATGAGTATGAAGCGATAGTGTGGTGATCAAAGTACTTAACCTTTACAATCACTGGGTTTAAGATCCGAACCGTGGCAAACCTATTTCCGTTTGGGGTACTGAGTAGTTTTTCAATTACCTGTCACACTGTCTCAAGACTGAATACACAAAACACGCATTTGGCAAATTATTCACATATTTTGTGAACTTACACTATTTCGTCCACATTCCTAGATAACTGTTTCTTCCGAATTTATTTTTGTATTGGTTGTTTAAACATCTATGGAATACAGGTACATTCAGCTGACGAGTCCCAAGTAGGACGAAACTCGCATCCTGGATTCCGCTGCTAGTCACCATCCACCTCTGCTTATTTCTTATGAAGTTTTCGCTAAGTAGATGTAGTGTTTCTTAACTGTAAAGTGATTTTTCACACTGAGACCGTAAATGCTGACAAGTGAATTTCCATTTATTATTCTGATGTAGGACCTCCAATATCTGGAGGATTGTAAATCGCTATGAATCGTATAATATAAACTGTCATTAATAGTGAGGATTCTTTGGCATGGCGGATTTTCCCAGTTAGTTCGAAAGTATACAGACACTAAATGATTGTCTCATATAAGGGGTTAGCTCGTTGGGGACTTCTACTCTTTTTTATACAACTACAATTTTAGCAGTTATATTTACTTAGCCTACGGGTTTTCTTCAAACTATCAATTCAATTTACTTTTGTCATAAAGACAACTTTTTATTCTTCAATTACAGGAATACAGCACAGTTGGTTGATTCATGGAGGAAAGATTTCGGAGTCACATTAATACATATCCCGTGGGAAACGTGCATTGGATTCTCAGCATGCCTAAGCCAGTTTTCTTCAAGAATAGCACCACACACACGGAGATTAGATGGACCGATGACGGGATTCATTGTAAGTTTTCATATTAAGTGTGATCGGTCGCCTCATGTTTTATCGATTTGGGCGTTTGCTTAGTGTGTAATGTAGTTTGGGATAAGTCGATGAAGTCAAACAACGGCTTCACGTTAATGTCTACATTCATTGAAATGTAATTTGAGAATATTAAGGAAAGTTTAAGTTGTTCCGTATCGAGTAAATCTCAATAGTGATCATGTTTCTACGCTTTTGCTATGAGGAACATGTGTGAGACTTCTCAGTTTGTAATATATATATGTAAACTTTAAGTCAGTTTTTCTTGAGACAAATGCGAAAAGTGATGCACCCAGCACAAAACAAATCAAGAGAATATTCTTTTTTTATTAAATAAATTATCATTAAAGTTCGCCCCATTTTTTCTAATTTTTAGTCGGGTGCAGTTCCACTGATCCACTTACCTAACGATTTGGCGTAATGTTATACTCGAAACATGATAATTCTATTTGAGTGATAAACTGTCAACGTGATTTTCTGCTGATGAGATATGAAGAAGGAAACTTACATGCTTTGTTATTTCTTGTGAGAGAGAGACAAACGGAATGTATTTTGTATACTTTAGTTTCAAACGTATTGTCAATTACCCTTACATGTTTTTGTACTATACACTTTCTAAGAATGGTCATATTTTTCTGGGGACCAAATAACTTAACCGTCATCTAAGGCTTTTACAGTTTGTCCATCTAAACAATATTGATAACAGGATGTAAGAACTGGATGCTTTGCCATGCCCATCGTAATGGAAGCTAATCAACAAACTATGCACAACCAAGCTGATATAACCAGCTGAATAAAATAACTAATTTGTAAGCATATCCGTTTACTTGTTAAGTAAGAGTAACAGACACTTCATTTGAAGTTTGTCAAGTTTGGCTTGTCGAGCCATAAAAAAATTTATTTGGAAAATATAAAATAGTTTGCCAGGCACTCAAGCTCTCTGTCCGACTAAACTAGAGACTGATCGATTTTATTGTTTAATATATTTCTTCAGCTTTTCGAAGTTTCACCTAAGGTAGGCCAAGATTCGGAATTGATATCGAAGCGTTTAGGATTTGTTGTGTTCGGAGGACTTCGCGAGAAATGGGCAACACGATCTGGACCAACAACATTGAGTGCACCAGAGCGAGAAATCTAAATACGTAAAGTATATTTTGTAGAAAATAGAACTTTTAGTAGAAGAAATGCACCCAAAAACTGTTCACTTAAACGATAATAAGGCCTAGCTGATAAATTTTACTGAAGTTCAGTTCTTGCTCCACCTTTTACCGTTTGAGCAGCTGAGTACTATCACTAGCACTCACAAGTACAGTGATTAAGATGTGACCATACATACATATATTCAGTAAATAAGTTCCGCTGTGACTAACCTCAACTCTATCACACACAAGAAATACACTAAAGACATACATGATTGGAATGCTAATTGTTATGGAAATCCTCTACTATTTGGAGCTGCATTAAATCAGTGTTGTTGCATCAGGCATAATGATGTGCTGTATACCCGCTAATGACTAGTAGCTAAATATCTTCCTGAAGCAGATTATGAGTGCGAAACGAGACCCAACCTAGAAGAGATTGTTTCTATACACCGAGAATTAATCCGTTAGAAACTGGCCGGTAATAAAATCTGTCACTTTCTCTTAATACTTGTTTAGAACCCACCAACCTCTGTATTAAATCGTTCTTGTCTACTACATTTTTACATACACGAAAATGGATGGGAAATAGTACTTACTTCAGCAAAACTGATTGGTAAAGTTTTTTTCCATTTTATATTTTGCGTTGTAGTTGAGAGTGGGACAAAATTTGAGGGGTCAAGTTGTACTTCTATGAAACAAAACTTTAGAGCAATAGATAACCTACCTTGCTTAGCTGATAAAGTTGCATGACCGCTGAGAACAAAACCTGGAGCTGAAAGTTACGTAGAAAATACGTTAGTACAATACACTAAAACAATGCAATTGCGGTACAAAATATGACTATGGAAAAACGATGGAATATCATTTTTCTATGCATGCATTTAAAGGCTGTTATTCTGTGGGACTTAATCGACTACTCTAACCATAGGTAACGACTAGCTTTCAGACACCAATCAATAAGCCTCTACCGTCCAGCACTGCTTTGACCAGCGATAAGGATTTTGATGGCTTGATACCTATGGGTCTAGGTACCTTTCAAGCGTGTTACCCTGCATAGTGCGTCGTATCATATGGTATCTGTACACGCGTATCATATGCTCCAAGTACCCACATCGACAGCAGTTCGCTGCTCACTTGTGTTTACGATACACGAAGAGGACCACCGAATACTTGGATTTTGCACATTCTGTGTTTAAAGACTACACCTTGTCGACCCAAAGGCAATCCACAAGTGTTGTCTGCAAACCAACTTTGGTCATAAGAACGATAAACTGCATAATTATTTACTTTATGGCCGTCACATTTCTTTGTATAATACACGGATGACTGACGGAACATCAGTCGAATTGAACAGAGGAATTCCTGGTATGACTATTTATAACCGAAAATAATGGGAGGTTAACCAAAGTTAAAACGAACCTGAGCCCATCTATTTCTCAGACAGCTCGATATTATTGATTACTTGCAAACTGAGTTTCTCAAAGCTCAGTAGATAGAAATATTCTCAACAAATCAGTCACAATGATGGTTCATCTTAATGAACCAAATAAATACGTTGCAGATATTTGTTATCCATAGGTCCCTTTAAGATAAATTTATCCCACTTGCTAATTTGGAAAGTGTTATATTGAAGTATGGTCCATCTTCGTCAAAGTCAGTCGTGATTTAATTTGGGAAACAAAGGACTTATTTGCCTCAGTAGAGGCTATTGGTTTTATGAATGATTCGCTTTTTTGATCTTACAGCATGTTAGCAGTTTGAAGACTAGTAACAGAGTGCTTATAGTATTTATGTCTAGGGCACTTGTATGAATCACATCTCGCAATCGAGTGGCAAGATAAAAAAAACTCACTGGAAATTCATTTAGGGAAAAACTAAGAGATATTACGCTTAAGATGGAAATCCTTACGATAACCACTATTGATTCTGAGATTTTACCTAACATTCCTACAAACCATAATTGCTAACGTTTTATGGGTCAGGTCAGGGGGGTGCAATGTTGAGGGTCTTAGTCAAAGTGGGGAGTGGGTTGATGAAGTTATAGATCTTCATTGACTGAAGCGGCCAGGACATTTATTGCGTATACCTAAATTAAGGAAAGGAATACGGTGATAATGTTCAACAAATTATCATTCATAATAAGTGTCGTAACATTTTTAATGTGCAAAACTTGACCAGAGCTACTTAATAACAAGTCGTCTTGCAGTCTCGTTTAGGCGCATTTATTTGATGTTCTACAAACCACAAACAACGAGTAACCAAACAGCTTTCGACATCCAACTAAAACTCAATCTTATACACAGCTAACGTATCCAGTCATTATTTTTTTCAGATGGTGGCCAACACCAGTTCAGCCTCAAAATAATTCACCTGAGCTGCACGTCTTTATTTAATTTTGGTGAAATGGTGTTATCACTATACAAATATGGGAAAAGGGGTTTACTCGGTTATATCTCATTAAAGCAAACCATAGAAAAGTCATTATAATATGAACAAATTTGGTAAATATCGTAATGAGTAAGTCATGAAAAATGATTGGTCACGAGCTGAACTAACGATTAGATATTAAGAGCAAAAGCTTGGATACGAACTTATCACTGCCTTAACACTTCCCTTAAATATATAAATAACATGCACCTATCTATAAAAGAAAAACCAACCCATTAACAGTTATCTTACGCAGTGACGTAAATTGGTTTTCAGCTGCCTTTTTTAATTCAGTAAGTTTCAGATCTTCGAGACGACTTCGATCTCGCTCCAATGCGCGGTTATTCAACGATGTGGCAAAGTGAGATAGTGTCAATTCAGATACCAACGGTGGTTCTAGCTTGATTTCCACTATACTGAAGGCGTATCCATCAGGTAAATGGCTCAGGTACCTCAGAGGTTTTCGTAAAGACTTGAAAGAAAAAACATGTCGGTAGGAAGACATCCTTAATAGTAATTATTATTGAAAACACAAAAACAGGTCCGTGATTATCAAACCTTATTTAACCACTAAGTATAGATGCTCCAAAGTAACCACGAATATAGTCAATGCCCTCTAGCAATGGTGTTGTAAGCGAAACTGAGAGGAACAAAAGCGAATATCCGGTTCTTTAACCGGGTTGGTGGATACGCATGACTTGTCTAGTAGTAGAGTTGAAAAACTGACTCCAAATCAATGTTGTATGAACTTACTTTTGATCACCGGTTGCCATGGGACCGCATCTGACGATGCCCAACTGTCTTGTAGATTAGATTATCGTTGTTATTTAGATACAAATATTGGTACAAGTAGGCGCCGGATATATATATATATATATATATATATATATATATATATATATATGCGTGACACTTCGATTTGTGTGACGGCTGTGATGCTGCTAAAGCGCGCAAACTGAAGCAGGTGGTTTTCACAGCGGGCCACACCCCGATCCCTTGACCATGAGGTCTAATCTACAAAGTATAGGAACGGCGTCAGGAGATGCAGTCGCATGGTATCCGGTGATCAACAATAGCTTTACAAGCCATTTGTTCTCCCAGAAGCCCAGAGCCCATATAAAACAATCGTTTGGAATAAGGGTTTTCCAACCCCTCTAGGTGGGTTCGCCGTGCCACCAACCCGGCTAAAGAACCGGACGCTAGCTTTTGGTCTTCTCAATTTCCTAAACAACAACCCTGCCGCGAAAAGGCAGTGGTTATATGTTCGTGACCATTTCAAGTGGAAGAGTGGAATCTTCCCCTAGTCCGTATAAATGAGGGTACTCAGAACCCATAGTTTTTAGAAAATTAAATTTCTGTTTATAATATTCATGTGTAGCGATTTTTCTAGGTTTGAATTTACTCTTCCCTCCCGTTTGCTAATACTTCCAAATGAAACATGGACTACCTAAAATTCACAAATCAAACATTCCTTTACGTCCAATTTTATCAATGTGCCGATCACCTACACATAACTTAGCTAAATGGCTAACATAATTGCTGGATCCTATCCGAAGATGTTTATGTGAGTATTCTTTGAAGAATTCTTTTGAATTGGTCGATCATTTAGGTGATATTAATATCAAGGAAAAGATAATGTGTTCATTTGACGTGAATTCCTTGTTCACAAATGTACCTTTAAAAAAGACTATCGACATATTATGTGACTACGTATCTTTAAACAACCTTAAATTACATGTTCATTTAAAAATTCTTAAAGATTTACTACTATTATTTACTGACAAATTTCAATCCACTTTCGAATGTGAATACTTTCGCCAGATTGATGAGGTTGCTACGGGTAATCTGTTAGGACCTTTATTTACAGATGGGTTCATGGCGCATGTTGAAACTCTAGCTGAAGAACTAATCGAAAACATGTCGCATTATAAGAAATGTCTGGACAATATTTAGTTGTCTGTGAAAGAAAGGAGGATATGAGTTGTTTATTGAATAAAATTAACGCTCTCCAAAATCAGTCTCATGCGAAAAGGAGAAGAATGACCAGCTTCCCTTTCCAGATATACTTATAAGTAGGCGAGATGGTTAAATCAAACGATCCACTTTTAGAAAACCAACGTGGACAGGTCAATACCTTAGTTATCATAGTTATTGCACCGCGCAAAACAAACGCTGTTTGATAAAGTGTCTTTTTAACAGATTTGATCGTATTTCAGTCAGTCAGTCAGTCAGTAACAACGTAGAACTTCGTACGTACGTA